GCTTTTATCTTGCTCGAGGGTTTATCCTGTTCTAGCCAGAGTTTATTTTTTAAAGTGTGATGTTAGCTGCCTGTGTGCTAGTATTTGTGTGTACGTGCTCCAGGATGTGGCTGTAAAGCTCACAGCATTCTAATTCATAGCAAATGGCATTTACAGTTGCTGTCTCTTAAGAATTATTAGAGAAGTTGAGAAATAGTTATAAAATATGTATTTATAAAGAAAATAGCAGGAAACCATGGAATTCATAATTCTTAAGAATTAAAATGTATTATTTCTCCTGAAGCTGCAGTCTAGTTTAAATTCTGAATTAGAATATTCATAGGTCCTTTTTTGTTTATTTTTAGAAAATACCTGTGATGTTAAAAATATAGAGAGGGCTTCCATAAATAATAAAGGATATGGATGTATGTTTATATATAAAAACACACATGTATCAGTTACCTGAAATGTAAGGCTACCAGAAAAAAAACTTTTTTGAATTAGCGGTAAATTGGTTCATCCAAGTTCACAGTTTACTTTCACAACATAGGTGTGCAGACAGTTTGTTTAGATGTTTAATTTTTCCCCCCATCTGTTCTGTCAGGATTATTGATTGAGCATTAATCCACTCCAGGGCATGCATAGCCTTCTTGTAATTGCCTGTCTTGGGTGCATTGCATGGCCTGGGAAAAAGCTGAGAGAAGTGTCCCTTCAACCTCACAGTGAAGCCTAATTGGTAAAATAATATTGGAATGAATATGTTTTTTGAAAATGCCCATTAGCCGAGTAAATAAGTACACTGGGAATTTTAACTGATGGCATCGTTTTAAAATACATAGTTTGTTATATAATATTGTTCCTTGAAATGAGTAACCACTCAAGAGTTTTTTTAACTCACCTGGTTGTTTTATAATGAAGGTATCCACATCAAATGTTACTAGTTATTAACCAATATTACCAGAATATTTAATATTAACTGGTATCTGTGGAAACTTCCTGGAAGCAGTTTCTGGATCCTGGTAGAAAAATTGAAACTAAGCTTTGTTTCCTGGAGTTTGTGCTCTGTTTGGATTTTGATTTGATGTGACACATCATTTTTTAATGCTTATATTTCTGGTAGGGTCCCAAATCCCTGCTTGTCCTTTACCTCTGTTTGGGCGTGTATGTTAAACATAGGTATAAGGGACTGCCACCTCTATGGTTACAAGGGACAATAGAGATAAAAGGAAGTACCAGATGGCTGCATCCATATTCAGGCTTTGAGTTTCATTTAAAAGTCAGTAATGTTGATTGGAAAAAAGATACTTTAGGTTAATTCTTCAAGGTACGTCCTTTGCTGGCTTATTTCTCCAGGAGCATGTTTTGATCTGCATTTATATCCAGATTATATGATAAATTATATTTTACTGGAGCTGAAATGTGCTATTGTTGTACCTCTAATTTCCATCAGCATTCATCATACCCTTAGGTCAGCCCTCATGATAACCATGAAATAAGTTGCCCTTTTTGCTAGGAAAAAAAAAAATCATCAGAAGTAGCCAGAAAGGATTACAGCCCTTAGGTTAAAGAATGTGAATTGTGTATGTTACTGTAATGTTAGAAAAAGCAGTGCTTTCAGGGAGAAAAATTATCATCCTAAAATAATATGAAAGAGGCTGTTGGATTTTTTTTTTTTTTCCTTTTTGTCTTTTTTCGTGTCCGGCAACGGATCGCAACCCTCAGTGTCGCGCCCGTACCGGACCGGGACCGGCAACGGGATCGCAACCCTCAGCGTTGCGCCCGCACCTCGCTCAGCCAGTGAGCGGGAACCGGTCTGTATGTGGGATCCGAACCCTCGGTAGGAGCGCCACACTGTAGCAGTGCGCCACGGGGCCGGCCCATAGTGGCTTTCGATTTTTTTTTTTTTTCCTTTTTGTCTTTTTTCGTGTCCGGCAACGGATCGCAACCCTCAGTGTCGCGCCCGTACCGGACCGGGACCGGCAACGGGATCGCAACCCTCAGCGTTGCGCCCGCACCTCGCTCAGCCAGTGAGCGGGAACCGGTCTGTATGTGGGATCCGAACCCTCGGTAGGAGCGCCACACTGTAGCAGTGCGCCACGGGGCCGGCCCATAGTGGCTTTCGATTTTTTTTTTTTTTCCTTTTTGTCTTTTTTCGTGTCCGGCAACGGATCGCAACCCTCAGTGTCGCGCCCGTACCGGACCGGGACCGGCAACGGGATCGCAACCCTCAGCGTTGCGCCCGCACCTCGCTCAGCCAGTGAGCGGGAACCGGTCTGTATGTGGGATCCGAACCCTCGGTAGGAGCGCCACACTGTAGCAGTGCGCCACCGGGCCAGCCCGAGGCTGTTGGATTTTAATTAGTTAATTTGACTTTGGGATTTCCAGAGTATTTCAAAATATTATGTTTTGAAATAATTTAGATTAAGGAGAGAGAAAGGATATTGTATGAACAGTGGAAACATGTTTATATACTATACATATTATGAATCCATATGCAGAATATTGTAATCACTTTTATTTTTACTTCTTCTGTGTTTCATTTTACAGCTGTTTGGAGGTAGGAGTTGAACCAAAATCTTTCTCGTTAGTTGGCAGCAAAATCTCTTAGACACAGAGCAATTGCTGAGTTGTTAGGCTGTTTTCTCCTCAGCATTGCTTAAGTTTACATGTCAATAAGACAATACATTCCATCGATTTTGTTCAGGACACAGTGATACGGCAAGTAGTTCTAATTATTGCATTATGTATCTGTATGTCAGTTAAAGCACGTAGGTTCAGAAAGCAAAACCACTTATTTTGAGAATCAGTGTTCATTTTACAAAGCTAAGTAAAATATATTTTATTTTATCAAACAGATTTTTTTACAATGCAATTTTATTTTTCAGTTGCTTATTTCTCTTCAGAAATAAACCCCCCCTTTTTTTTATGTACTCACTTTCCCTTCTGGCTGAAAACCAGGTATTTAAACAAAAATAAAGTATTGCCAGTTTTGCCAGCTGGGGATGAGAACCCGGCTGGTGAAATGTGGGTTCGGGAGGCAGTTAATCCAGCTTTTATGCTTTTTATGGTTTAATGAAAAAAGAGGTTAAAAACCACATTTGGCTCCGTTTCGTGTGTGCCACTGTTTTGTTGGTGTTGTAGGAATGCAGTAACTAAGGTTACTCCGATTTAAAATTTTTGTGTTATTAAGTAAAATCCTGTATCAATCAGATAAAGGCCCACAAACAGTACATTCTACTAATTGTCCATGTGATAGATCCTTGAATCATCAAAAGTCACTGGTATTTTAAAATTATGTATATAACATTTCCTTTAACTTAAGTATATAAGTAGAATTCCTTCTGCTTCTTTAGGTATTTATTGCTTTCTATTTGTTCTTATATTATTAATATCAAACAAGTAGAAATTGGGAAAATATTCTAATATTTTGGCTAATGATGAAAACGAGAATTTGTTATTCTTCCAGAAAACATTTTCATTAGTTGGTGACTTACAAACGATTTCTGGTAAAACATAGGGACTAGACTTGTGGTCATATCGTACCATTGGAGTTGCTAGTCCTCTTTAGCCATGAAACAAACAGTGATACAACTGAATTAAAAATCTTCCCATAGTATTTCAGAAATGCTTATGGAGTAGATCTTTAAGTAACAATTTGTTCTTGAAATTATATCCTTCATCTTTAAATATCCTATGTACCAAAGTGTCTTTCGTAGTATTTGTAGGTAATCACAATGTAACTGTCATCTTCAATCTGTGCCATTATTGGTAAATTTTAAATAAAAGTCACAGAGGAGTAATCTTCAGCAAAGTAATTAATTCAAACCAAGAAAGTTTGGAACATGAGTAACTACTTTGTTCTTATCAAATTTTCTCATACAATCAATTATGAGTTTTTTAAAATTGATAAAATTTGTGTATGTGGTTTTTTTCCAACTGGTTTTCTCAAAGCTGAGAGAATCAAAGTAAGTTTTAAGATTATTCAAATATAGAAATTTAAGATAAAATATGAAAGTTCAATGTAGATGAATATTTCATTAAATGAGGAACTAATCTGATTTAAAAAAGGTAAAACCAAACTTTTCCTGGGACAAATGGTAAGGCACCATGTTCCGATTTGAACAGGTTGCATCTAACATAGCCAAACTGATACTTTCATATCATTTCTCACTAAACTTATTTTGCATGTGATGTATTTGGGGAAACAAATGTAAGGACAGATACCACACAGATACTGAGTCTGGGATTTTCGTTGTGTTTAACAGAAATTTTTGTTGTAAGGTACTAAAGCTTTGGATACTAAAGTTTATTACAACCCAGACAATAAACCTTTACATTTGCTCTGTTAAGTAACTTTCCTTAAATAGTTTAAACATATAGGGGCCCCCCAAAGTTTTCAAATTTATTTTAATGGTCGTCATGCCCCGTACTCTCTTACACTGTGTGTGTTTACTCCTATCTTTCACTGTTCATTCGTATCGCTTAGTTCTTCTTAAAGCAAGAATGTGTAAGGCACTGGACATACTCTGTGATGAGCATGACCTAGCTCCGAATTATTAAAGTCCACATTAGTGGAGCCAGAGGGAACATTAAGCAGGCCTACGAGAAAATGTGCAAATACACTAGCTAACATTTCTCATTGATCCTTATATGTAATCATTTACTTGAGATTTTTCTTTGGATGACTGGCTCCTTTTTTGTACACTGACCATTTGTGGATATATTGAGTATTCCACATATTTGGTGGGACTTACATCTTTTGTAGGATGCTTCATAGTTTAAATGTCAGGATCTTAGAATAGACTATCTAGGCCTCAAAAGTTGGGATTCATTTTGATATAAAAATCTTATGTTTTATGAGTAATGCTTTAAAAGTTAACATGTAATAATTCATCTTTTTACTGGTTTTGCTTTTAGGTATTAGAAGATAATGACTATGGCCGAGCAGTGGACTGGTGGGGCCTGGGGGTTGTCATGTATGAAATGATGTGTGGGAGGTTACCTTTCTACAACCAGGATCACGAGAAGCTTTTTGAACTGATACTGATGGAAGACATTAAATTTCCTCGAACACTCTCTTCAGATGCAAAATCATTGCTTTCAGGGCTCTTGATAAAGGATCCAAATAAACGGTAAGCTTCAGATAATGTGCAGTGAGTTACTGATGAATGTGGTTAGAAATTGTGATATGGAAATTAGTTCAAATGCAACTAACTCCAAGAAGGAGTGTATTTGGTGTAGACATCTTCCCACTGAGATACTGACTTATTTTTAACTGCATAATTTAGAACATTAAAAAAAAAATGTCCTCAGCTCTTTCCTAACTTGGAAATTTTATGCAGATTTACCAAACAAGGATTTTGAGAGTTTCATTATTCATATTTTGAGTGAACAATTTCTTAATAGCCTTGTTGCTTGATATTGTGGGGATGGGAAGGTTCCTTTTCTTCCTTTCAGTTTCTGGGACTTCGTATTCCTGTGTCGATTTACATTTTAAAAAGAATAGACCTGTTTCTATACTCTCTTCCCACCTGCAACCTATGTCTGTTTCTTGTTTGTCTTCGGAAATTTTCATGCGTGGTTGAAAGGATTGATGGCTAAAAAATCCTTATATTCTTTGTTTTTGTAGCTACAGCTATGACCTAAAGAATCCTCTAGCCCTCACCACTTTGTTCATGTTTGTATGTTCTTTCACACATACATTTTACAGATCATGTGTGGAATGACTATTAATTTTAAGATTGTCCTTAATATGTGTGTTTATATTTGTGTATGTCCAGCCTCCCATCTAGGTATCTAGGCATGTCAGTATTTCTCTAGAAGCCTGTGAGGACGGATGATCTTATATACTGGTGAATCTTCCATAACACCTCACATAATGTTTTCTTACAATGTTTTGTTTATGGTTGATGCTCAGTATATATTTACTGACAGACTGGATTAGTGGGTGAAGAAGTCAATGAATCCTAAAATTTGGGCTTTGTCTACCTCAGAAATGGTTTTTATTCTATGCTTCTAGCTTTTAAATTTATAAGGAATATGATTTTTACCTTCAGCAGAAATAAGCAAATTCAATGAAAGGGATTTCATCTTCTTCCTTTGTAAAGAACCGTTCAAAAATGTATTCTGTAATCCTAGTAACTGAGACATTACCTTATGTTTGTAAAGTGGTTTTGTTTTCCTTTTCAGGGCACTTTTGCATCTATTGTCTCTAAATAGATATATCTACCCTATAAGGCTACTGAATAATATCTACCCTATCTAGCCTATAAGCCTTGTAGGGTGATATTTTTCTCATTTCCTTTTGATTGATAAGAAAACAAAGGCCCAGTGAGAGTTAAGTGATTTACTAAAGGTCTCACAGAAAATTCATGCAGAACAAGAGTAGAAATCAAGGTTCTTGGTACCTGTTTGATATTTCTTATGTATCTTCTTTCTAATGCATCAATATCTCGGTTCGTTTGGGTTTTGAAATGTGTTCCATTTAATGCGTTTATTTCACAATTATGTGGTGAGTAGTACTTGGTGCTAGGTAATCTTTAAACAGAACTGTGACTTCCTTTTTATCCGTTTCACTTTGGGATCTAGTATTTGGATTGGTTGCAAGGACAGTGTATTTTTATCCCATTCTTTTTTTACTCTTCCAGGGAACCTTGACCACAGTTTCTTCTGTGGCCCCTCTGTAAGGGGCCAGCAGAACAAAATCGTATTTGTGGTTTTCATGTCTATGTCTCATTAACTTTTTTATTGTCATCACACCCCCATGTCATGGATGACATATAGCAGGTACTTAGGAACTGTTGAAAATGTGAGGAAAATTTCTAGAGTGTTAGTGGCCTGATATGAAGGACAGCTTTTAATGATTTGCCCAGCCAGAGGTTGTTATTGTTCTAAAGAGAAGATGCAGTGTTTTCAATTATCTTATATTTTCTTTTATAATAGACATGTCCAGCCACTCGCCTGCTGCATTACAATATTGTGAATGCAAGGGCAGGAAAGATAAACAAGTTTATGCCCTAGGTGTTCATAGAGTAACATGGGGCACAAAACATATCTTCACGAGATGCTCAGGTCAAACTGTGCACAAATTGCTGTTGAAATTGTTAGCTCTGTCCAGGGGAGTGGAGGGCTTGATCTGGCTCATGAAGGAGTTGAGAGTTTGCAGTGATGCTCAAGCAGAGAAATTCACGTCAAAAGTACAGATACAATTGTAAATGAGCATGGCATTTGGGAAGTTCAGTGACTAGAGTGTAGAATGTGAGTTGGGTAACACTGGGAGATGAAGCTGGTATGCTATATTGCGAGGACCTTATGTTTTTTAGAAAATATTTAATCTTTATTCAAAAGGGGTTGAGAAACCCCTGACGTATTTAAAGTAAGTGGCTATACAATCAGATTTGTGTTATGCAAAGGTAACTCTGGCAGCTTTGTCATGGGTTAATTAGAAGAGCGAAGGCCCGGGCAGGCAGACACAGCAGTTAAGAGTGCTTATGGAATTGTCCAGATGTGAGATGGAGTCCTTCCCGAGGCCGTGGTAAGAGAGCAGTGAATCGAGCTTTGTGAATGATTAAATGCAAGTGGTGAGGAAGTGGAGCAGCCAGGGGTGCCTCTGAGGTTTCCAGCTGCTGTGACAGTTTAGAGAATGGGCTAAGACAGGAATACAAGTTAGGGAGGAGGCTTAATTGGGGGGGGGGTGCTGCTAATTTTGGCGGTGCAGAGTCTGAGGTTTGTGTAGAAAATCTAGATGGAAATGGCAGGTAAGCAGCTCTGGAGAATAGCACCAGTTCCTAGAAACAAACATGGCAACTGAATATATGGATTTGGGAGCTTGACACCTAGCGGGTAGCTGGAGTCAAAACAGAGAGCAGAGTATAAAGAGAAGGTGGCCTTAGGACAGAATCCCGGGAAACATCAAAATTTGAGAGATAGGAAGAAGAGAAAGCCAATAAAGGACCCCGAGAAGTCTTTGGAAACATAATCGAAGGTAGTATTGTAGTATACCTCTTCATTTTTCATATTCAGCTGTTTTAAATGCTGCTTGGTATTTTCTGCTATTCTTTACTGAATTGCTGTCAGTTCTATCAAAGTGTCAACTCTCATTTTGCCTTTATTTCTTATTCTTTATTACTTTATGATCATTACGTTAGTCCCTCCTTTATCCTCCAAGGCAGAGTTTATGGGAAAAGCGTGACCTCACGTTGCATTTGTAACACTAGGAATTTGGAGTTTTGTGATGTTCCTGGTAGTAAAGAACCCACCGCAGCGGAGGATTAGTTTGGCAATCTGATATTGGAGCTTAGTATTCTTAGACATAAATATCTCAGTTCAGAGCATATTTTGATATTATTTTGAAGACTTAAATTGTATATTAGAGAGTCATTGACATTGAAATTTTTGACAGTTTCACACTTTGAGGAAGCTCGTGTTAAAGAATCTCTCCCAGCTTCTAAAGTGGCAGTCCAAGATTGTATTCTTAGACTTTGCATAATATTCATAGCTGGTATTTTAGTTTTATGTGTATTTGACAAATATAGAGCAAATGCTGGCTCTGTCCAAGCAAAATAATTGCTAGAGAACACAAAGATGAATAATTGAAGCTGGATTAAAGCTTTTTATTTACAAAATGATTGTGATTCTCCCTTGTACCTCCCACCTGATAGACCATCTCAAGTACAATTCAAGTGAAAGCAGCGTTGAAAAAAACTGTAACATAAGTATAAGAAAATATGGTGGAGTTCAGATATTTCTCACACAGGCTACTTTACTTTGATGCCTACTTTGAAGTATTAAATTCTTTTCAGCAATGTGTTCTGGTACTTCTGCTTTCTGGGTTCCCCAAGCACAGGCTTCAAGTGCCTTTGGGTCATGCAGTATTGACCACTGCCTTCGGAGGAGTTTGCAGTCTCCTGGGGGAGAGAAGTACACAGCTTGAGGAAAGAGACTGAGGGCAGGGACTGGAGTGCTTAAATGCAGAATTGCAGGTCCCGAGGTTCCAGATGTGAGTGTTGTTATGACGCGATCCAGTCCGATCTGAAAGTCCCATCCCTGGGTGTGGCTCATTTAGAGAATTCTGTATGGATCTGGGAGTAGGAGACCCAACACGTGGAAACCATTAAAGGTATTCAGGTGTCAGCTGATGGATTTATTTTCCGCTCTGACAGTATGTCAGAGGATCCTACATCCTTCCTACTCAGTGCTGTGTGGAGTTGGCACATGCCAGCTCACGAGAACCAATTGTTCCATTATCAAGAATTTTGTGAGCTGGTTGTTTAATACAGTCGTTATTACAAATTAAATTATATAAATTTAAAAATTAAATCAAGAAAAGTAAGAGCAAAGGTAATAAATACTCAAAACTCATTATTTAATAATTTTGTTATATTTTCCTGCTGTCTAGTTTTTGAGGTTATTTATGTCTGCTGAATCTGTATGGAAATAATATATAAAGGTTTACTGTTGTGCACCTCTTTCCACCTCTGTGGTCAGCAACATCATGTTGGTAGCTTAAAATTTGCCATTGTGGAAGTATTTATACCACGAAAATTGCAAATTTTATAAGGTAGAGCTTAATTTATTGTTTTGATGATTGTTTAGACTTAAGAAATTGATGGAAAAAATGTTAACAGTGCAGATTAAATTCAAAAGTTTGTTGTGTCTGCATTCATTACATCGTAAATAGTACAAAAAATTGAATGAATATTCTTCCACTGTTCCAGAACTGTTAACCATTTAGCAAAGAAGTCACTCACATAACAAAGAAATGAAGTTCTGATGTATCACTTTCTTCTGTTGCTTTAACATAAACAAAAATGTCAACCCGTGTTCACGTCAGACTAATCCAAAACCAGTCACATCCAAAGGTGGCTTTAAAGTTGAGCAAAAAATTAACAAGTTTTCAGTGAGAATTAATTGGCTAATACAGTAGAGAATATTGTATATTTTATTATTATTTCTAAATTTTGTGTTTCACATCCTTTATATCAGTAAAATTCATAATAAACTTATATATGTGTGTATATGCGTAAGTTCTCCCCAAGAGCTGATTGTTAACCATTTACCAGCACACATCATTTCTAACCACGAACAAGTCCATATAAAGCTTGCTATATGAAATTCAGACTTGAATAGGTTTTCGTTTACTTTCTTTCCCTCTCTTTTTTTCATCTCTCCCTTCCTCTCTTGCTTTTCTGTTTTTTTTTTTTCTCCTTAGAGACTAATATGTACTATGTTAAACTGAGGAAGCCAGAAAATACCTGAATTTCATATTGTGTCAGGTATTCGTTAAATAAGAATACCTTCAAAAATTGGGTGGTGTATTTTTTAATTTTTCATATTCCAAGTTGCAGAGCAGATTGCATTGTAATGATATTTCATAGACTACAATACTGTTTCTGTGAATTTCACTTGAGATCTGAAAATAGTCCATAAGTTTCCATCTACAGCAATGCTCTGCTTCACAAATTATTTCTCTAACCAGTTGTTTAGTTATCTCAGAAATTTTTATTAACAAGGGTACATTTTGATTTTAATCATCCAAAAAGGAATTTTGTTTTTAGCATTGACAGTGCTAATAGCTACCGTTTACTGTACTAGGTTCTTACGTATGTTATTTCTAACCCTTGCAATAACTCACCAGGCAGGTATTACTGTCCCCATTCTGCAGATGAGAAAACTGAGGTAAAACTACTTTTTCATTGTCACACATCTCGTAAGTGCCACAGATGGTTTCCTCTTTCAGGTCTGCCTACAAAACCTCTGTTCTTTTCCAAATATCATACTGTTCTGAGGCTAGTTCCTTATTAACAGCATATGAGGAAAATTAAATCTTACAGTGAAAGCTTTTTATTTTTTATGGCTATTTATTTCAAGAACTATTATTACATAGAGAAGTATACTTTCACAAAAACTTTTGTTATGCATAGGGTTTATGTAAATGTTTTATACTCATTGAATTTACTTCTGTCCTTATAGCCTTGGTGGAGGACCAGATGATGCAAAAGAAATTATGAGACACAGTTTCTTTTCTGGAGTAAACTGGCAAGATGTATATGATAAAAAGGTAGGATATCTTTATGGCCTAGTGTGTAAATATTTTGGCTACTCTGTTAAAATGAATTTATAGCCAAAAATTTTAAGTGAATAAAATTTAATGATATAGTGATATTTTCCACTTTACTCTGACATTTAAGTGATTATTGAACTTATTAGCACAAAATTTAATTTTTTGTTTGTAATTTTGACTCCCCAAATTCCTCTTAAAATTCATCATAGTCACAGAATTTTTTTCCCCATAATAATTTGTCAGTTTGCCTCTCCTTATCTCTGTAATTGAAAAATTAAGACACCTAATATTATATTTTTCCTTAGGAAAATTAACTAGCAAAAAAATCATAATTTTTAGATTCCCCTTGTGTCTTTAATTTTAAAGTGAACGCTTCAGATTCATGCATGCAAATTCTTATTTTAAAAGGAAGTTAAATACATTTAGTTTTAATATTTAACAAAGTTACTGTCTTATTTGGGACTCCCGTTGAGACAGAACTTTACTGCCACAGAATGGAAGATACTAATTATGTACCTATTTTTACTGTAATCCTCTTGTTAGTTGTTTTTTTTTTTTGTCTTTTGTCTTTTGTCTTTTTCCGTGTCCGGCAACAGATCGCAACCCTCAGTGTTGCCCCTGCACCAGACCGGGGACCAGCAACGGGATCGCAACCCTCGGTGTTGCTTCCCGCACCTCGCTCAGCCAGCGAGCGGGAACCGGTCCGTATGTGGGATCCGAACCCTTGGGCGGGAGCGCTGCCGCGCTTCCCAAGCGGCGCACTATCCAGTGCGCCACCGGGCCAGCCCTTGTTAGTTGTTTTTAATAATGTAATTTTTGCTTAAGTTCAGGAGCAGAAAATGTTTTACTGTGAAATTTTTATGTAATTCAATAAATTGCTTAGAATTTTTATTTAACTTTTTTTTTTTTAATTCATCCATTTCAATTTATCTCAGCTTTCCATATTTTTCTCTGAAAATTAACCCCTCAGGTAAAGATAGAATGACATCATATGAGTCATGAGGAGCTGTAGGTACTTGTTTCTGCATTATGCTATTCATATTGGGGTGGGTGGTGATTTCTATCCCTTTT